CGTATAACCGCTACATTATTTTCAAAAGGAGACAGTTTCAGCTCGGGCATTATTTATTTTTGCCTAATGGAATCAATAACATTCGCGTATGCCCAATAATGTACGACCCCCTATTGAAACAACGCAGCGATTTAGTGCAGCTGACTGAACGCACATACAGGCCATCAGCGGGTCCATATAATGGACCAAATTTCATTTGCAACTATCCTATCATCGCCCGCATTCGTTTGTCGCTTCATAGTGTAATGAGCAGGTATATTCTTTGCTATTGTATTGTATATATTATTTTGGTTAGCGTACCTAAATCTTTTTTTCTGATATATGGAACGAATTTCGATTAGCGGCTGCCATGCGTTGTCATGCGGCCAAGTAACTGCGCTTGTGATCTCTACTGGCCACTCTAGCGCTTTCTTTCGCCATATAGACGTAGTAAGTTTCTCACGGGATGACCGAAGACACCCTGAGGCTATACTGCATGTATAATGCATGCCCGCTCGCCACTACCGACTGCTTTCGGTATATACGATTACACGTATTACTGCTAGCGTGCCATTTACTAGCACGTCGTCATCACGCACCGTTGACGCGGCAGCCAATGCTGCGAGTGGAAGCGTCGATGCCTAAGCAAGCAGTTGAATCTAAGGCTAGCAACAACAGCGCTCGCTCAGCAGACGACAAGAACCGCTGGAGAGAGAGAGAAACACCAGCTACTGCGCGTGAATTTCGCCTAAAACACTCGAGTGTTAATGTTGCGACAGAGAGTGAGAGAGGGTCAGCGATCGCTAGTACTAGTGCAAGCTCACCGGCCACCAACCTCCACTTTATCACGTGTATAGACGAAAAAGTGATCACATCGCAGCAACGCCTGCCTTCTGTTGAATATCCAGCGCGTGACTACCAGCGTCGCCCGGACACCGATACCAACGAATCTCAATCGATTTTTGCAGCGTTGGATGTTATAAAAATAGAAGCAAGCGGTGCGCGTGGAGGTGCGTGCGGGAGGAACTCGTCTCTAGGCGCGCAATAACGCAGAGTAGCAGGAAGGAGGAGGAGAAGCCGGATTCACAGAGGAGACGATCTTGTACGTTCTCGTTATAAACGACGTTTCTCGTGCTCAACGTATGATGTCGGTTATAAACGTGTTGCTAGTTGTAGCGGCACCAAACTGACCCAGAATTCGCTGCTACATGCATGACACAGCGTGAAAAAACCCTTACGCAGGGACCAAGTCCACGCGAATTCGCCGTGGTGACCATGCAGAAGAGTTGCAAGGCGAGGTAAGGTATTTGCGCATATACGAAGTAACATAATGTAGTGAGAGATACTAGTTCTTGTAGGAAATGCGCCTTTTGTGTTTCGCGCGTTTTTTTGCGTGTGTCGCGACACGTTATTGAAGCATTTACGTGCGCGTAAAAACATTCTCTAGTGGAGTTATCGTACAGAGTCATATATGTAGTGGCGATTTTAATTGGCAATATGCGTTATTTTGCATCTAAGTTCAGCGTAAAGGATGTAGATTGCAGTGATACAGCGTATTCAACGCAATCAAATTGCGCTTGCATTCTTAGCGTTTCGTAACGGGGCTCTAAATTCTAGATTGATTCTTCTGTTTGATTCTAGCCTTGGTGATTAATTGCCACTGGGCTGTTTATACCTTCGTGATTATTCCCCACATCTGCTCCATGTCAACGAACAGCCATCATGGGTAGGTATATAGCTGAACACAATGACGTAATCATGTGCAGGGTGGTCGAGTAGAGCACACGTAGCTGCGTACTACTGCGAGGTAGTAGTCAGATCGAGGGCATTAGCGTTTCCCAGCTGATTGATCTTTAATTTACGTAGTGGCCCACGCACACGTATGCGTCATACACGCGTATGCACGCACGCACGCGCGCATCAGGTGTGTGTGTGTGTGTGTGTGTGTGTGTGTGTGTGTGTGTGTTGTGTGTGTGTTGTGTGATGTGTGTGTGTGTTGTGTGTGTGTGTGTGTGGTGTGTGTGTGTGTGTGTGTGTGTGTGTGTGTGGTGTGTGCACGTAGGCTGTGTAGGCTGTGTGCACGTAGGCACCGTAGCACCGTAGCACTGTACGCACCGTAGGCACGTAGGCTGTGTGTGTGTCAGCAGGTGTATGCACGTGCGCTGACTTGCCACGGCGCTATAACAAATACGAGAGGGGTGACGGCATTTGATAAATATTTAACAAACTGCAAAGGTATCGACAGTTTCGAGGGACGATACGTTCACTCCCCGTGCATGCCGCGCTACGGACTACAGACGTAAACACAGGAGTGTTATTGAGGTCACCGAAAACCGCTACCGTATGGCCAGCAGCTATAGTTGGCTCAAAGCCAAGCCGCCCACAAGCGCATACAGCTGCTGCTGTGCAGAGCTCCAGGGGCGGATTAGCGTGGTGCATGTGAGCATCACGCTTCCCCCCCCACTTCATCCTTAAAAGATTCTATCGCGCAGTCGTGGACACACCAGGCGATTGCATCGGGCGATGGCATCGGCCGATGGCATCGGGCGAGCACTCGGCAGTTAGATGCGATATTATATGACTACTAGGCACTTTAATTTAATTTAATTTTTTTTTTTTTTAGGGTTAGGGTTAGGGTTTAGGTTAGGTTTAGGGTTTAGGTTAGGTTAGGGTTTTTTTTGCGGCGGCAGTGCGATTGGCTGATGAACTCTGATTGGCTGATGAATTGTACAATCGGGCGATGTTATCGCCGGTCGCGGACACACCAGGCGATTGCATCGGGCGATGGCATCGGCCGATGGCATCGGGCGATAATTATGAAAAACGTTTTGATCTGTGCGATGGCATCGGCCGCATGGCCATCGGGCGATGAAATCGGCGGCGATTGAGTGGACACACCAGGCGATTTTCACGGCGATGCCATCCTTATAGGACTGTCCTCCTGATAGGCCGTCCTCCTTATAGGACTTATAAGACAACGTTATGCGTTTCCACTCACCGCATGCGCCTTACGCGCACGATATTGGCTAAAAGCCTCATACCTGTGGCTCATCATGGGGGTTGAGTTGGGGGGGTTCTTTGGTTGGTTTGAGTTCTTTTAAGGTGACGTACTGTAGATTAACACAGGGGGGTTGTTACACCTTTGTAGTATGTTAGACCTTTTGCATGGCAACGCGATTCAATAGGTGCGTAGTCAGCCGGCACCTATAGCTTTGTTTATGATATTATGACATGGATACATTCATATACGTGATCAAATTGATATAATCGGGGTGCCTGTCCGCCTGCTGTTGCCCGTATGTCTTATATATTATATATATTATATATATATATATATATATATATATATATGTATATATCGTGCGGGGTGTCTGCATTCCGTACGCCGAGCATGAAACCGTACACTTTGAATCGCCCGTTTTCATCCAGGGCTAAGTTCGGGGTTAGTTCGGGCAGAGTAACGGGGTTCACCGCGGTTGCACAAGAAGCTCTCTTGTAATCTGTTCTCCACCCACGCATAGAAAAAGGAAACAATGTTCGAGAAAACTCTTCGCCTGTAAAAATAACTCCCGAAGTATCGCATATCACATCGCGTGCCCACGTATAGACACCGGAGTTGAAAATTTCCAATGGAGAGGTTTTCATCGATATCTTTAAATATATCTATATCTATATCTATATCTATAGCTATATCTATATCTATATCTATATCAATATCTATATCGATAACTATATCTTTTCATCTACGTCTAAATCTACATCTACATCTACATCTACATCTACATCTACATCTACATCTACATCTACATCTACATCTACATCTACATCTACATCTACATCTATATCAATATTATCTTCATCTGTATCTGCACATGTATCTATCCTTACCTGTATTTGTATCTGCATCTGTGTCTATATATCTGTATCTGATTCTGTATTCGTATAGTATATCTGTATCTGTGTATTCAGGGCAGTAGACAAAACAAATGCCCTAAGGCGGCATATGTCATGACATTAGTATATTGACGAGATATCATATAATGCAGTGTCTACGGATTCAAGAAATACGCCGCGTGTAGGATAAGAGTGAGCTGAATAGTGTCATACCTTTAATGCGCATAATTTAAAACACACACGCGCGCGCGCACACACACACACACACACACACACACACACACACACACACACACACACACACACACACACACACA